TTTTATTTGTTATCCATAAAACTCATCCACTTTAAAACAAAATATCAATCAAACGTAATTTCATTATCATGAAACACGACGTCCTAATTACAATACCTCCAAACATGGGTCCAAAATAAAGCTTATTTTCCTCAAAATAAAAGTACCTAATGTTCCGTCCGTTTGCGAGTTTACAAAGAAGCTCTCTTCTCTTTAATTTATCATTAAATTAATTAGCTCGCATGTTTAGTTAAAAGCCACGTAGCTTGCATCATGAGAATAATTTGCCGAGGCTTTGGGTAGTAATGCACTTAGACGTGTTTGAGCATTTTGTTATCTATATTCATTTTGAAACAAGTGCAAGGTTCCACAGAGTACATACATTTTAAAGCCAATTGTCGCGGTAGTCTCAGAGGAAATATTTACGGAGTATTACTCAGAAAATAAGCTAGGTCTTACTTTTAAATTAATATTAAAAAAAAAATTAAGATTTGGACAGGATTTGCTCCAACCAATTGAGCTACCGATACCTGCCACGTCACCGTCGATTTTTTTCAACTTATTTATACATGCATCTCTCTCGCAATATAATTTCCATCTCAACAATTACGCATTATTTATTTTTCAATTTATAGTGTCATCACGTGAAAAATATTAAAATAGGTATTACTTTTCTTTATTCGTCGATATAGTAGTGCAATGCAATTTGACTAACAAATGTTTTAAATGTTAATGGCGATAGTTGGTAATCCGTTAAGCAGTGGTAGCTCTCAGAGCCCTCCCTCATGATGCATACCTGGCAACATCCATGGGATATTAATAGGTAGGCACAATTATTCATAATATAGTAAATTGTACGTAGATGTTTGGATATTCTTGTTTATTCGAGCGTGTGACCTACTGTCAAATGCATTACCTCTGCAGGTAGACCTAATTATATAGTATGCCATATGCTTCTTGTTGTCATGATTTCCTTTAGAATTTAACAGCCTGTGTCTCAGTGGTTAAAGACACTTTGTTAACCACTATAGGTCCGGAAACTAATAAATAATATAGCTTTCATAGAACAGCGGATAGAGGTACTTTACCAAATTTAAATAAAACACTTTAAAGGTTTAAAACGCGATATATATTAGTTAAACATATTTGAAAATCATTTTTAACTACGGCCGGATGTTTCGAATGCTTTGCCACAGCCGTGGTCACGGGGAGATTTAAATGTGTACTGCTCGCGTAAAATACAGACAGTACTTTAGTGAAATTAAAAAAAAATTGAAACGGATATCGATTTACGTCCACTTTATTGAGAAACAGGGCTTCCCTTTTTATTCTACAACAGAATTTCAATTTATCATTTCATCAACACACTTAAAAATAATATCTTCAGTCTGTTATTGTCTTATTTAAATTAACACTTCAACAATTTAAAACGCGATGTATTTTAGTTAAAGTTATTCGGAAATAATTTGAATTACGGCCGACGTTTCGGATACTTTGCAGCAGCCGTGATCGTATACAATGCTGTTTAAACCGTTAGTGTTTTATTTGAATGTGTACTACTCGCGTAAACAACAGACAGTATTTGTATTGTAGTATATATGTTTATTTCTTTGTTTTTGTTCATTAGTCACTTGTCATAAGATTTTCACTGTCACTTTCATCAGATTAGATCTTTTTAATATTCTCGTCAGCTATCCGGATTAAAAGCCACCGTATAATATCTAATATCAAACACTTTTGAGCGACCTGTAATCTGATGAAAAATCGCAACCTTTATGAGATAAGAATACATAAAATTTTGGAAATTTGAAGTGTTTGACTCAAAATTTACAAACTACCCTCATAAGTGGATAGTCAGCTTTATTTAAATAAAACACTTTAACGGTTTATAACGCGATATATTAGTTACCGAAGCCGAAGTTAAAAATCATTTTCAAATAAGTTTACGCGAGTAGTACACATTTAAATAAAACACTTTAACGGGTTAAAACGCGTTATGGTAGTTAAACTTATTTGAAAATGATTTTTAACTTCGGCCCGACGTTAGTGTTTTATTTAAATCCAAGCAATATTATTGTGTTGTACTATGTGATAAAAAAATATTTGAAATTACATTTTACTACAGCTATCTACGGAAACTACATCAACGTTTATCACATATTTATATGCTCTTGCGCAGTAACATTGTTAAACATATAAATATTTGAGTAAAATAAAATAACTTTTAACAGTTCAAAACGCAAAATTTTTATTTGATAAATTATGTTTAATTTAATACAGACAGTACTTAACTTCTTGACTATTTCTTACTAGAAATAAAATTCTTGAGCACGAAACAAAAAGAACGGGGTCGTACTAAGTGCTTTATTTCTTTTAACTTGATACCTTTGTTAATTGTTTAAAAGCATTTACCCCAAGCTTTAAACTTCCTAACTTTTGTTTTTCAAGAAAACAACAATAGACAGCAATTGTTTCCATGATTTTATAACCTTTAATTTTAGATTGTTTTACTAAAGTCAACCTTTTCAATATTAATTTTAAATATTGATTTTAAGTAATAATCAGAAAATACTGTCTATAGTTTACGCGAGTAGTACACATTTAAATAAAACACTTTAACGGTTTAAAACGCGATATATTAGTTAAACTTATTTGAAAATGATTTTTAACTTCGGCCCGACGTTTCGGATGCTTTGCAGCAGCCGTGGTCACGGGAAGACCGAATCATCCGTTTTAAACCGTTAAAGTGTTTTATTTAATAATCAGAACTTTGACGGGCCCATTATTGTATGGGTAGCAATTTGTGACTAATAAATATGTTTTTAATAATTCTAGCAGCACGGATATTGTTCTGTAATGTTAGAATATGTTTATAATGAAAATAAATAAAATGCTTTAAATCAATTTATACATAATTATTCTGAAACGTGTTGGACACCTTCTAGAAAGTTTGTGTGCGTCACGTCCACAGATGAAAAAACAATGTCGGGTTCAGTCTGTAGATTTACAAATATCAAAGCCAACATAAGTGGACAGTACATCTTGTTCAAATCTTCGGTTTAACGATAACGACATTATTTCTAGGTCGAATCGGGTCTTACCTAGATTATTGGAAACAAAAAGACATTGATTAAAGATCTATTTATAGTGAAAGAACGTTTACATGGGCGGGACATACATAACGGGATTTCACTACAAAATATCGATTAAACTATTAGGCTGCTAGAGGCAGAGTGGCCTAATAACAAAGTACATGATTTTCATAAAGGACGAAAATAAAAATGAAGTTGTATGAATTTATGTAAGAGTTATGTTAACAATTTTCTGTCACTGTGCTCTTGTAATTTAACATTTTTTAGACCATGAAAATAACTCAAGTCATAAAATTGCAGTTAGGCCACTCTGTCTCTAGCGGCCTTATATTGAAACAAAAATACATAGTAGTTGATTTGTTGAATTCTACATGGAGTCACATTAATTAGGTAAGCGTAAGTGTAGCGAGGAACTAAATTAAATAGATTCGCTTAACGATCACGCCGGAGATGGCAGAAGATTAGATCAGACTTCCTGTGGGACCATTTAAACTGAATGGCTGTTCCTACGTACCAGATAAGTACTTATTAAAGAACAAATTGCAATGGACGCGCCTAACAGGTTTAACGAAGACTACTAGACGGACTCGTTGGTGTAATGGTAGCATTGTAGTAATCAACGGGTCGTAGATTCGATCCCCACTGGGTCCAAGGTGGGTCGCGAATCCCTGTCCACAAATGAAATAGTCATAAAGTTTAATCGCAGTTCAGACTGCGGATTACCGAATATCCAAAGCAAAAAAACGACTTCATAATTTGACAAACAGATAACGCAATGTAAATGTAATTGTAATTTACTTTTAATTTAAGTCATACAAAAGTTTAAAATTAAATAAAAATCGACGCCATTTTACACATCGATGTGTTTGTAAAATGTATATATGTAACCCGCTACAATATGAACACTATTCGATTTATGAAAATTTCAACTGTAACATTTGTGGGTAGTTGGAAATTCAAGCCATCATCAAGATGTCTTATATGTTTACACCTCTTGCCAGAATTATTATTGCTAATATTATTACTCAAAGTTAACGCAACTTTAACTATTTAATAACATTAGGCCGTCCTTCGTTAACAAACTTTTCACTTAGGTAAGAAAATGGTATCCATCTACTCGTATTAATCTCTTAATATTTCTATAAATATATGGCTGCTTCGAGAATTGTAAAGAATATAAGAAGTTTCGTGGTGTAACAGGTTCTGAGTTAGATTCCTACTGGATCCAATATGATTGTTAATTATTTTCTGAATTTTCCAAATATTTTGGACCCGCAGTCTGGAAAATACGAGTATATTAAGAATAACACAATTGTCAACATTTTAAATTGTATTAGGTTTTTTATTTCCGTTCATATACGCCATATACATAGCCATTAAAAGTAGGGGTTTTAAGATAACAAGCATACTCGTTGTTTTATCGTCTAGTAATGTGACAATAACGTCGCGTTTATTTTATTGTTACGACTAAACCGTTGACAGCACTTTTACAAGTTTATTTTACAACTTTCGTTACGTTTCTAACGCGAAGCATTTTCATATACACAAACACAAGTGGGTGAAATACGCCTCTCTTTACATCTTTGCTTTCTCTGCTCTACAGTATGTGTGTGTGTGTGTGTGTGTGAAACCCCGTTTCTATGGGATATTTATGGAACAGACAAATATAACTTTAAAAGCTGTAAAGCATAAACACTTTTTAGTGTCAGTCTGTGGATTCCTGGTTGATCAAACCCCAAAGTAGGACGACAACATATCTTTCATTAAATGAAATACGTCATGCTTGTCTACCATACTGCGTCATTCAATTTTTCATGTTTAATTTATTTTAATAGGATAAATAAATAGCGAGTCATTTAATATTTATAGTGGACAGTCGTATTGCATTTTGTCAATAGCATCATTTGAAATTGTTCGCAGTTTACAAACATGAATTTAACAATGCAAGTGGCGGTAGTCGTGGCTGTGTTCCTGTGTGTGGTGGAGGGGGCCCCCGACGGGAGACTGGTGAGGAGCAAGCAGCAGCGACCCACACGGGGCTTCAAGAATGTAGAAATGATGACGGCTAGGGGCTTTGGGAAACGCGCCCAAACTAGGAACGAACGTAAGTGAAAACTTATCTAGTACAAGTTTTAGAGATTGGATGAACGCGTTAATTTCTCCTAACAATTTTCTTTCTATATTTAGTCAACACTACACATTCGTGCTATAACTAAGGACGGATGTGAATTAGAAGGAGATTAGGAGTAATTACATAACGAGCGCTGTCAATGTTTCAACTTTCGCATAATTCATGCATGCTACAATTAGTTTAAACACTCCGTATTGTTCAGTGGGAAAGGCCCCCCCCCCCCCCCTTGTGCCATATTCAGTCTCAGCCATCTTATGATAGTGTAAGAGTAAAAAAAACATTCTCCATATTATAGTAAGTAAATCAATTTTTCGATAAACTTCTAATGCACTTTGTCACACCGTGAAAGGCTTTTCACATCCATCTCAACCTAAGCGGACCTAATGGCGCGGGTAATCTGTTATAAATTTAACATTTCGGCTTTTCAACTCCAATCAGGTTGATGGTGTTGAGTTCAGGTATCAGATAATATCGTTTCAACTTCAAAGCTCATTTTGTATCAAAGGTGTTTGTAATTTTAATACTTGGTGTAAATAAATAATGAATTTTACTAATTCTAGGTGGGTAATGTTGACCAAACAAATGTAAGAACGATTTTAAGTCATTCATTCTTCCATTGCAACAAACTAATAAAATGAAGGAGCTTTATTAACATTTACGTCTTTCAAATAAAACACTTTTAGCGGTTTAAAACGTGAAATGTATAAGTTGAAGTTGTTCTTTTAATTGTCGCGGTTTTTGATGCCTTGCAGCAGCCACGGTCACGGGGAAACTAAAGTTGGAGGGTGTATCTAATCTACAAATAAATTTCGCGTTTTAAACGGTTAAGTGTTTTATTTACAGGTTTACTACTCGCGTAAACTACAGATAGTATTTAACGTTTGTCTTTTTTAAAATAATGATAAGTTAAAGTGGCTTTTCGAAAATGTATGTAAGAGGTACTTTTAACTGAATAAAAACTATTTACAAAAGGCGACGTCGCTCAACAAACGGCATCGGAGAGAACCAACCGTGGTACTCCCACATTTAAAAGTCCATCCGTCGGTATTGCCAGGGATTTCGGCAAAAGAACCCCGGAATTGGAGCCAGAAGGTATTCAAGGGTCCCGGCTTCGCTGAAAGGAAAAACCAAGAAAACTACTTAATAGTTCACAAAAAAACCATTTGCAAATGGTTAAGAGACCCTTCGACTGTGTCTTTCAGTGTCGAGCGAATTTAATTTCCAATGAATCTCATTGGAAATGGTTGAATGTCGCTTTGGATTTACTAAAACACTTCAAAATCCAACTAAAAGCTTTTATTGAAATGCAACACCCTTGTGCTTGTTTACTTGACGCTGTGTTCTCAAGTATTTTATCCTGAAGAACCGAATGGACTGGTATGCTTCAGGAATTTTTAATTTCAACCTTTAAGTGTCATCTTACAGCGCTTTCGAGGAAGCAATATTGACTCTACATTTTCACACTCAACATTTTTCACACATAGGTTCCGAAGACGTCCCAGAACACAAGACATTTAGGCACAAAGGTCCTCTCAGGTTCGCTATAGATTTCGGCAAACGAGGTGATAGCGAAATAAGCGAAGAAGGTAATTAACATAAACTCTGCTTAATCCTAACCGTGCTTTATATAAAGTGCTTGGGGAGATGTTAAGCTGAAAGCGTCTTGGAAAAATGCTTATGAAATAAGATAATCGCTTAAGTTACGACGCAAGTTTGAAAATAAACAAAGTGTTTGCGCGTAAATTTTCGAAAATGGAAAAGAATGAAAAATTACGAATGATCTTAGCAGAAGAAGAGATTAGAGTGACCCGTGGCACTTTCAAGCCGAACTCGAACGTACTGATCGCTCGGGGTTATGGCAAGAGATGGGACGAGGGCGAAGGTAATATGATTACGTGAGATCTCCAATGTGGCTGTGGATATCTGATGTTTTGATCGTGGCTTAAAATGGCGACAAAGTGGACCTTTGTTTACCTTTTTCGATATAACGTATCGATCGTAAAGCCTCTGAGACAGGATTAACACGAACACGCACGACACTATCGCATCACTCAAGACCTGTGCTACAATTAAAATAATTTGTTTGACGTACTGTTAATTTAATTAGTCACCAACGTGACTGCTTAGCTAATGTGCTTATAATTCCAATATGCGAATATGAAACAATAAATAAAACGCCCTTAACGGATTTAAACGTGAAATATATTATTAAATTAATTTTTATGATCCGCATCTTATAATATCAATAGTAATTAGCAATATACTCTGTGGACAGCCGGATACCTTAAAGTAGTCATCATCTCTTATTCATTAAATTTCACATATAAAACCGTTAAAAAGGGTTTCATTTAATGTGTACCACTCGCATAGACTACGGACATAATACAATTATGATTGTATTGCGTAGAAATTAGTTTTTACATTACATTGAGACTGTAAAACATAGAAATGTCTTTAAGGGCAACTTTATATTAAAAAAGAGCTTTTAAATGTTTTTTAGAGCGTACAAGGTTGCTTTTAGCTGTTCAAATCTTAGTTCTAAGCTTATACACAATGTGTGACGACTTACGCAAACGTCAAAACTGATGTTAATACAGCGAGACTCAATTACTTAAGTCGAGCTTTCGTAAATAAAGTGAACGCTCAGATTCTTTGATAGATAGACTCTCAATCTTCTTAAGAATATTTGTACAGTTTTTATGCCACAGATTATATTATAGTTTCTAGAAAAGTCAGGGCCAAGTGTCTAAAAGTGGAAACAGACTATATATAGTTTTTCACTTTTAATTTTAACTTTTGTAAGACTCGCAAGTAGCTTACAATTCTTAATATTCATAAATCAAAACTTTTTTAGGACAGATATAGGATTCCCTTGATTGTCGGTTAAAAATGACAGACATATAATATCAAAATACGATGCGCGGCCGACCTATTTTGGCTAAATCGGAAATCCACAGACTGAAGCCGAAACGGGATTAAACTTCACGGCTTTTCATCTATTTTCATGAATGTCGATAAAATTAATTACTTACAATAAAATAGTGGTTTATAGTACATAAAAATACATTGTTATTTAACTTTGTGAAAATAATATTCTATATTGGCACAACGTACTAAATACATTGTTAATAATTACAAATATCTCATAGATTAATGGAGTTACGATCTTTACCTTGTCCGAACAATATTTGATTCGCTTCTGTCTCGTCAGCGCTGTCCAGCGAGATTCTATTATTATACGATTTATCTTAATAGTGTTGCTAATTCGGAGACATGTTTCAGTGTATGGGCTTGATAACTTTTGGGACAATCTCGAAGCTATACAAGAGAAAGAAAATCAGGACGGCAACGAAGACAAAGCGGTCGAGAGGTACAGTATTAATGTATATACAAATCGTGTTATGTTTGTATTGTCCTAAATAATTCGGTAAGTTAGTGTGTTAACGACTTGTTAGGAATGTTTTGTTAATAATAATCTTTTTTTAACTCAAAATCTTTAATTTTTTAATATTATAGTTTTAATTAGTCGCAATATATTACTTCATTATTTATTTGTAGATCTATCTTAGTATTCAGTACTGCACTTTAAAATTAGTAGTTATTAAAAAAAATGTGGTCGTTTAAAACAAAATCGATTATAAATTGATACAATTACGACTCGGGCAGGACTTGAACCGGCATCAACAGCGGTTTGTGTTGTTGCTCTGTTGTTTATTTCATTCGTTTGTGAGATAAAGAGAATGTCCTTTACCAACATAGTAATAAAATACAAAAAATTCGAAGCTATAAATACTTTTTAATGTCCCCCAAGAAAAAAGCAAAAAGTTTTTAATGTCCTTGTCGTGTGTACCAAATGCCGATAACGTCCTTTGTCAATAACAGTTAAGGTATTTTAAGGAAATTAACTTCTGAATCGGAAGTGATGGAAATCTATACCATTCAGTTGTTCTGTCGATATTCGTCCATTTATTGAGATTTTATCCATTTAGTATTATTGGGAATGCGTTAATGGTTGGATGGAATTTTTATTGTTAAGAATTATTAGATTAAATAGACCATACTAAATTAATGTTAATAGTAGTAAAACGAAATCGTTGCCTATCGTGGGGCATGGGGCGAACAGATTTGTGTCCGTTTTACTGATCAATTTGTAGCTACAACTTCATCAGACTTCTGTACCCTTTCTCAAATAATTTATAGTTTACGCGGGATTGGAATCCTGGACCTTGTGCTTGTCGCAATCTAGGCAACACGTGCAACCATTGGTTGCTCAACGCGGGCGCGGCAATTGAATAAAAAATAAACAATTACAATTTTAATCCATAGATAATAAAAAACATTTATTGATTGTTTGTTTATTTGTAATACAGCATCCCCGTCGAGTGGTTTATCAACGAAATGGTGAACAATCCCGATTTCATTCGATCAGTTGTGAGAAAATTTATCGACATCAATCAAGTAAGTATTTCCTATTTCTTTATCCTTATGGCGTTTTAATAAATATACGCAACGTATCCAGACGAGACCTTACTGTTTTATATTTGAAGACATTGCGTTATGTTTTTAATTAGAATAAAGCATTAGGCAAGTAAAATTTGACAGAATATTGAAAAGATTTTTTTTATTGTTATGATTTAAGTTTTGTTAACCGTTTAACAAGATGCGCTGTCGGCCTATTTAGACTTTGAATACTAACAAATATGTGTTAGACGAATTTTTGGTTATATGGCTAGCATAAACAACGTTGTTGGTTCACGACCGAGGACCGAAACGACGATTCACGTTAATAGACTTATATAAATGATATATTATTTTACAGGATGGACTGCTCTCCGCCGACGAACTACTGAGGAATGTGGCTTAAAATAGTATTAAAATAAACGGTCTCATCTGTTGTTGTTAATTATGTTTAGACATTTTATTTGTTATCTGTAACGCGTTTTAAAACTTTAGTACTGTGATAATACATTTCTATCTTGCAAAACAAAATTTATAAAAAAATGGTTAATGAAAAAAACATGTGAATCGCTTTGTAAATAATTATGATAAATGTTACTGTATGTCCAATATATTTATCGTCGGTCAATTTGCATAGATAAAAAACGTTCGGATATCTCTATGAAAAGAATGTTCGATATTGGCCATTTTGTAGTATATTATTAGAGTTATATTTTAAAGAGGTTTAAATTAAATATTACTTCGGGCTCTCATTGTTTTTAGGTGGAAGTAATATGTACGAATAGAGGCACAAGACTTATATTTAGAGTTAGATTATTTTGTAAACATTTGTTTGTTTTTTAACATCTGTACTGGCTGGGAAGTATTTCGTTTGTTACTCTACATACATACATAACCGACACGTTATAGCAATTACAAACTATTTGTAAAGTAATGTAATGTTATTAAGATACCCGTAACGTCTAGTTTTAAACTATTATTAATTGTCGATATATTTGAATGGAATAAAACAATTGGGTATCGAAATTCGGAGTTTTCTTTATAATATTGGTGGAGCGAAATCTTAGTACTCTCGAAATCTCTCGAATTATCCTAAGGATACATTTATCTTACAACCTTCTTACCTTCTCGAAAGCAACTCGAAACATGCGTAATGGGATAAAAGATTTTACAGATTGGTCAAATCCTCGAGTTTTGTCTAAGTGCACTTCAATTGTCATATTAGGACGAAGCTTAATTAAAAATAGATCTTCAGATAATATTACTGTAAAAATAAGCCTGCTTTTTATTACAAATCGATTGAAAATAAAAATAAAGTTTACGACACGGGCGGGACTCGAACTGGCACCCACAGCGTGCTGTTTGTTTAACCAATTGAGCTACCGTGTCACGCTATTTTATTTCGTGTCTTTTTTTTATAATAGACTTTTTATTTATATAGTGCCATCATGTGCAACAACATGAGACAAATAAGAGTACTCACAAACTATTTCAGTTTTCAAAGCCTGCTTTTATTTTGAAGTAAACGCTAATGAATAGTTTTTTCTTAATGGTCTTTACTATAACATCGTTACATCATATATACGTTATCAGTTACAATGGCCTCTCTTAAGTAAATGGAGCTTAGTGAGAAATCACCATGCCACTCTGGTGTGGATTCACGGGCTCTAATGGTGAGTAAATCAGTAGTGATACACTGATGGTGTTTATTAAAAATACTGGTTTGGGTACCAGCTATTTTTAATAACTCTCACTCTCGAGATCTGCAGCCGAATGTACTTATAGTGGTAAGACCAGACTAGAAATCATATTTTTTCATTGTTCATCATGTTTAATTTACTAAAAGTGAATTATTCATAATATCAACGTGCTATTACTTACGATAACTACAGGTAGCGTGTTTTTAATTTTTCACACACATGACAAACTGTTTTCCCAGAGGCCATTTCAGAAATTAATTTTCCAATAGTTCCGTAATACTAAAACTCGTAATAGCTCTGTTAAACGGGGCGATTAAATGATAACATGTTTAATGTAATTTTTGGTGAATATAGACATCATATGCTCTTGCATATGATGTCTATATTCACATTGATAGCTTAAAATAATGAATGAATATTGACACGGTAGCTCAATTGACTAAGCGTGTGGGTTCGAGTTGTGTCGTCCTGCACTTGTTTATTGATTAATATAAAATACATTGTAAATTTGCTCGTACTTTTAACCCGTCTTGAAAATGTAATTTTCATTTGTAAAAAGACACGTAAAAACTTTAATCATTAGAACCAACAGTATTTTTTATTCACAATGAAACAGCGGCATGTAACGAGCTATTGCAGAAGAAAGGGATTTTCCTACCTCAATAGAAATTTCCTGTTATCCCTTAGTACCGGGACGGAATAGTTTCATTTCGATATTATTATTGTTTTGAAAGTCGGCAGTAATTAACGACAACTTTCGGTATCTAATAATATACGTTATCCAAATCTATATCTAATTATAATTTATAACGAGTTTCCCCTGGGGGCCATTTCGAACACATTTATATGTCTGTTTTACTGATCAATTTTATTACAAGTTAGCTACAGACTACTCGCTCTGCTCGACGAATACAACAATTTATCGTTTTCCCGGGATTGCAACCCCAGTCTTCTCATTAATTAGCGCAATTGCCGCTCAACCATAGAGCTACGAAGGTAGTTATAATATAAAACAGGGATTACCTCCGCTATAAATATTATATTATACGTAGTAATAATTCAATGCCTTATGAATCGTAAAGGTGTTTACCAAACTATTATAACGCCTAATATAAGGAGTACAAAGACAATGGGGATTATATGACATTCTTAATTAAAAGTATGTTACATAAGAAAAAGTTCCGTCCTGTTGCCGTGTAGGCCATGGAGAAGAAAGATTTCAAAGTGACATTCGCTGCTTAGTTGTTCACGCAAGTAGTTGTTGCGTACCCTGCCTATCTGTTTCTGGCCCTGAACTGTTTGTCCAGGATTCGAATTTAGGAATTGATTGATAGGAGATGGGTTTAACCACTGAGCTAGGGTTACCTAACTAAGTCATTACTTTATAAGAGTGTACTGTCCGTTAGTTTCTGTGTTATTTGTGATATTACCCACTTTACAGAGACGTGGGTTTGTAAAGTAAATCCTAAGACAGAACTTTGCAGTGTTATAAAACTTTGCCCATAGATATTAATTTCTGTAGATCATAAGGGAAATCATACATTTACACATATAATATTTCGTTGTAACTAATTTGCATAGGTCGTGGAAAGTCTTATAAGAATCATTGAACCGGAAAAATATGCTAATATCAACACGTATTTAGGGTGGAATGTTATTACAATAGTAAAACTAACCTAATAAGTCGTTACTATAGTTTTATAAAATTATATTGAATTTAATAGCGTAAGGCAATAGTAGAGGCATATGTGATCTAAATATTATTGTAAACAGGGATTTCATACACTTTTCTTTAGCTTATCTTGTTTGTCGTATACAAACTCATAAACATCTACTTCACTCTACTGTATAAGCTTCATTGTAATCTATCAACTGATTATCTTATTATCTATTGATTAAACTGCTCTTAAATAAAGATGAATGGATGATTTTTTCTATACCAATTTAAGTTAACATGATGCCAAAATTATTGGCCATTTCTAGTGGTCTTTTTGAAGCGAGTTGTGCCTTTGTAGCTATATTTAGCTAATAATAATAAAATAATATTATAATATAATTATATTATTATTCGTCGCAATTTCCCAACTTATCATTTGAGAAATATATAATAATTACCACGACTCAAATAATTAATGAAAGTGTAAATTCCCCTTGTAGTAAACTTGCAGAAATAAGATCAGCACCAAGATCTTAGTGCAATTCAATGCTTCGTTAAAGTGTTCTCATCTTTGTAATACTAGCTCAACTCCGACAATATCTAACTTTTAATAAATCTCAACTTCTGGGAGTATTACATTCTCTATTAAAATATTTTAAAGTACTGAAATTTCGTTTGTAAATCCAGAAATGAGTTCAATAAATAAATTAATAGCAAAATTGTAATATGTTCCTTCTTAGCACAGTCGTATAAAAGACGTTGCTTAGTTTAGGGTTTGAATCCAGGTGTGGCGTATGTGATTTCAATCGGGAAGTAACTACTTGCCTACACACACATAGAAATGTGTTTGCCTCAATCCCCCAAAACCAAAACGGAATTAGTCATCATATCATATATAAAACTAATAATTATTATTAGCTGTATTAAAGCCAGTGTGACACGAATCCCAGTAGAAAACAAAATTAATTCATCTTAAATAAAACACTTTAACGGTTTAAAACGCGATATATTAGTTAAACTTATTTGGAAATGATTTTTAACTTCGGCCCGACGTTTCGAATACTTTGCACCAGCCGTGGTCACGGGGAGATCATTTCTAAATAATTTTAACTGATATATCGCGTTTTAAGCCGTCAAAGTGTTTTATTTCAATGTGTACTACTCGCGTAAACTATAGACAGTATTTAATTCATCTTGTTTCAGACACCTAATCCCGTATGTTTAACAAAAATTGACGACTGGTGTGTCCACAGCGTACCGTGCTGTTGTTCTAACCAATTGACCTACCATGTCGTTTAGATCATCGTCGAATTTCTTCACCTGTCGTGCAATGTATCGTATGGAATTTTTCATGTAAATTGATTTTTAAATTATATAATGCCATGTGCAAAATGTACATTCAAGTATTTAAAATCAAGTAGAAATGTTTTACTATGCCCCGCATTATTTTTAAGTGACGTCATTTTTACGTCGTAATAAATTGTTACAAACATAATAAACATTCATATAGTTTTAATATAAATAGAGAATCTTGAAAGTCCTTCCTTGGACTGATAAAACGAGAAAAGTGCGGTTCCTTGTAACCCAAACAGGATCAATATATCACAGTTTAACTCTTGTTTTGTGTTGATCATACAAAAATGGTAAGTAGGTATTATATCTAATACGATTCTGCTAAAAGTCCAATAAATTAGTATTTAAACAATTAAACAAAATCAAAGGCGGGATTTGAATCAACAACAGCAGATTAGTAGACCTCAAATTGGTCAGGGGGCAATTTCAATAGATGGTAACATCAAAAACAGTTTACAATATGAAATTTTAATTATCAGTGTTAAGGTTTTAATTACATTGCGTGAGAGGTGCAAAAAAGTCGTCTCGGACACGGTACCTCAATTGGCTAGAGCAACAACAAAACGGTGTGGATGCCGTTTCAAGTCCCGCCCGAAATTGTTTTGAATATGACATCATGTACAACTTTTAACACTTTTAAAACAAATATACATTTTGTCTGCCTAGTACTTACTGTCCTTTACCTAGCAATGGTAC